CGCAACGTTGCTTAACGCCGTCTGCTAAGCAATGACCCCACCCTCACGCTGACGCCAACGCGGCTTCCCCGCCGCCTCTCCACCGTCCCGCTCGCACCCATGTCGACTCCCAGCCACTCTCCAGCTCACCTCCATCTCCCGCCACGCGCCCGCCCGCCCGCTTCAAAATTCTCCCGCCGGCTCCGCTCCAGGCCTCCACCAAATCCTATATAAACCAGACCGCACACACGTTCCCACTCCAACTCCATCCATCGCCAGCCACGCCATCCATTTTTTCCCATCGAACCAAGGAACATTCTAGACACAGCACTCGATCGAATCGCCGCCCAATCCATGGAGTACGGCGTCGCCGATGACTACGGGTACGGGTACGACGACCAGCAGGAGCCGCCGTCGTCCGCGGACGGGGACGAGTACGCGACGGTGCTGTCGGCGCCGCCGAAGCGCCCCGCGGGGCGGACCAAGTTCCGGGAGACGCGTCACCCGGTGTACCGCGGCGTGCGGCGGCGCGGGCCCGCGGGGCGGTGGGTGTGCGAGGTCCGGGAGCCCAACAAGAAGTCCCGCATCTGGCTCGGCACCTTCGCCACCGCCGAGGCCGCCGCGCGCGCGCACGACGTCGCCGCGCTCGCGCTCCGCGGGCGAGCCGCCTGCCTCAACTTCGCCGACTCCGCGCGCCTGCTCCGCGTCGACCCCGCCACGCTCGCCACCCCCGACGACATCCGACGCGCCGCCATCCAGCTCGCCGAGGACTCGTCCGCCTCCTCCTCGTCCCACTCGCAGCAGGACGCCCCCGTGGCCGTGGCCGTGGCGTCCACGACGCCCGCGCCCCCGTCGGCGCCTTCGTCGGCGTACCAGCAGCAGGCGGACGCCGCCGCCGCGGCGGCAATGTACGGCGCCAGCTTAGAGTTCGACCACCCGTATTTCTACGACGACGGGATGGTGGGCGGGAACGACTGGCAGAGCAGCAGCGGTTGGCATAGCAACATCGACGGCGACGACGAGTGCGCCGGCGACATGACGCTCTGGAGCTACTACTGAGCTGGATGCACCTGCACCGGCACAGATCAAGCGGCTGCTCTAGAGTCTCGAACACATGAGATTGGGAGAGGAGGCACGCTGGACTGATACAGAGGAGGGAGCTTGAATTTAAATTCAAATGTTTGTACACGAAGGAACGGCAAAAGGGCATGCAAGAATGCATTTACCGTTCGTCTTCCTTTTTTGATGGGGAGAATGATAATAATAAAAGACTAGTAGCTCTGTCTAGAGTTGCTCTATTACTATTTTTTGAAACAAAAAGGGAGGAGTCTTTTTTTTTGCATTTTTTCCTTTACATTTAAAAATAATAATAAGTTTGACACTGCTAAATGCTAATGTTCATGGGAGGAGAGGAAAACAAGCTCGTTCGGTTAGGGGTAAATCTGGGTAGGAATTGTTTCCGGTGAACACTGGCTATACTATATAAGTTACACTGGCAATCCTGGTTGTAATGATTCGAGGGCACCGATCCATAACAACCGAACGCAGCCTAACTAGGCAGGAATTCCAGGATCCCCTGTTGCTGCATGTATGGGTTCGAGTGTAAGTTGGCCCTGCTGGTGCTCGCGTTGCAGAGTTTAGACCTGCATCCTGCGCGTGCCTGGTGGTATACCAAGTACTCCCTACATCCGGAAACTATCAATTTTGGATAAGCCAAACAATACAAAAGTTACAAACATTTTACATTAGTGGTCATCATATTTTTTTTATGAACTTAGTTAAATTTAGAAAAATTGCCTGGGTTCAAATCCAAAATTGTAGTATTCCAAAAGAGGAGGGAGTAGAAATGGCAACGGCACGCAGGTCAGAGACAGGTACGGTTGGATAGCAGATGCACGGGCCTGCGGCGGCGCGGCGGCGGTGACGGTGATCCATTCATCCCAGGCGCACGTGCTTAGACAATCATTAAAATGAGCACCGCACCGGCCTCGGTTGCAGATTTGCAGGCAGGCAGAGACGCGTTTGCGCGGGCGGCGCGCATGCAGCTCAGCTCACGACAAATCTGCCTTCCCCATGGCCCATCGTATCGTATTCTCTCAATCTGCGGGCCCGCATAACGCAGACTGCTTCAGTGCCACACCCTGTGTACGTTTACTAAGGCCCCGTTTAGTTCCGAAAATTTTTGACTTTTGGCTATTATAGTACTTTTGTTTTTATTTGGCAAAAATTGTCCAATTATGAACTATTTAGGCTTAAAAGATCCGTCTCACGATTTCTCGGCTAACTGTGTAATTAGTTTTTTTTTTCGTCTACATTTAGTACTCCATGCATGTGTCGTAAGATTTGATGTGACGGGGAATCTTGAAATTTTTTGGTTTTTGGCTTGGAACTAAACGGGGCCTAAAGCTATCTCTAAGAACAAAATCCAAAATACAAGATCGATTCGTCTTTTAGGTAGCGCTACAGGCAAAAAGTTTAATACCTATTCGGTATCTTCTCCAACAACAAGACCCAAAAAAGAATCATTTCTACAAATGAGTTTCCAAGATAGAGGATGTCCATATTTGGGTTGTGTCTCTCAGACAACCCAAAATAAGTCTCTCGTATAGATACTTTGGTAAAGGCTGATTTTGGGTCTCTTGCTACCCATTTTGGATTTGGGTGTCCATATGAGATGTTTGTTGGAGACAGTCTAATTCCATCTTAAAACTAACTGCACTAAAATAATCACCGTAATGCACTAAGTTCCAGCACACGGTGCCGCACGTGCGACTCGTTGACAGCTTACGACATGTGCCCTCCCTTGACCGGAGAGAAGCAGGCGAGCTTAATGAAGGTCGTTGCTAATAAAGATACTGGTACTCCTGTACTACCTGACGGGGAATATAGGTCGTTGCTAATCCTCCCGAATTGAATAAACATATGGGCACCGGCCGCCCTCCTACTCGCGTAGACGCGTCTGCGCGGGCGGCGCGGCGCATGGCCACAGCTCACGACAAGCGCCGCGCATCGTCACCTCCGGTTGCTACGGTCACGGTCAGAAGCAGCAGCACGAGGATTCACTGATGATGGCTGAATGCTTGAATCTTCAGACTTTCATTCAGGGCTCCAGGTGCAGCTCCAGTGGATGGGTTCGTTCGCACCACTCTCTTCCAGGAAGGGGAGGTGGCGGACGCTGAGCTGATATTTGTTAGAGGAGGAAATTAATTTTCTTTACGAATTAACTAAGAATGACATAGGATATATTGTTTTGTTGCATTTGATGCCGTATGCATGTGTTTGTTTGTGTGCAAAAACAATCTTTTAATGTGCTTAGTGCCATAAGTTTTGGAAAAAGTTTCAGAATCAATTTGTAAAAAAATAAACTTGTTTAAAAAGGAGAAACACAAACACACCTGGTCGACCGGCCCACCTGGCCTCTCCCTCTCAGCTCCCTCCCTCTCTCACTAACGCGTGGCCCCGCCCCGTCCGCCTCTCTCAGGCTCGGGCTCTCAGCGACGGCGGGGCAGTCCCAGGCTCGGCAGCGGCGTAAGCGGCTCCCCCTCCCGCCGCCTCTCGCCAGGCGCCTCCCGCCCTCGCCTCCGGTCCTCCGCACACCGGTCGGCGACCCTGCGTGCGCGCCTCCCGCTCCCCTCCCGCCTCCGGTGGACCGTCTGCGCGCCGCGCGCGGCCGGCGGGCAGCGGGAGCCAGCAGCCGCTGCTCCACCAAGGCGGTCGCGAAGCGTTACCCGTCCGCTTAGCGCTTCAGCGCGAGTGCAGCTTTTTGGAACCCTGGAGATGGCCAAGTTTCAGGTACTTCTAATTTCCTGCAATACAAGTATCATATCTTTTTTTGCCAAATAGAACACCATAGAATTCTCTGCTCATCCTTTTTTAGGTACTGAATTCCTTTGTGTTTGTGTAGTACTGAAATTATGATTGGCTATTTTTCTGATGCAGTGAGGTTAATAGTTTCATACCTGTAACTTTTTCCTATGAAATCTTTCTGAATTTTAAGTTACTATTAATATTTGTTTTGTGTGCTCCATTTGGCTCTGATTTTATTGATCATTGCAACCACTCGAATGCTGTGTGTAAATGAACTGTCATGTTTTCCAACTTGTGTACGCATGACAATTACAATGTTTTTCATAGTCCCTAGCACAAATACCTCAACAAGCATGCCGCACGAGGTTTTGTTGTCTGTTATGGTGTATTTGTTTCATGCAATCAATCATTATATTAATGCCATTAAATGTCATATGGTAAAGTCCTCTTTTGCTATAGTTATTTTGTTTAATGAATGTGCTTTCATGATCTCAATGATGCAACAACTACGAATTTTAGAAGGTTTCCCCCCTGCAGCAATTTAGTTCTTATTTCATCCCTATGTACATTGTACTTCTGACATGCAATCCGAGCACCTTCTTTTGAGGTCCGCATGCCAACTGTTATCCACCTGGTTCATAGAAGATTTATTAGTGGGTGTCAGTGTTATTGAAGATGGTTGTCCCAGGTATCCGGAATCATATACAGACACAATGTAACACATCTTGTTACTTTGAACTGAAAACTGTGTCCTGTTGTAGGCGAACAACGGCCTGTTCGTTTGGCTGGGCTTGTTCGTTGCGGGATCGTGAAGAAGTACTGCTGGCTGGTTTGGTGTGAGAGAAAAATACTGTTCCAGCTGGAAATTTACGATCGTTTACGAGGGAATAATCCCAGCCGAACAGCCTATACATGAATAATGTAGCTACCTAACTGTAATTCATCTTCCAGTAGGTTCATAGGAACCTTGTGTTTGGCCTATTGCTATTTCACGGTTTAGATTATGCATGTATTTCTCTGCATAAACTATCATCATGCCACCTATATCTTTGTTAATCACTGCCCCTTGCTTCAGGAACGGTTGAACCGGTCATTGTTGGTCTGTCAAGACAAATTTGAAGCAGCCAAACTCCAGAAGATGAAAACAGATGCAACTCAGGAACTGGAATCTTGTGTCAACAGATTTATCGATGACAGCATCAGGGTCCTCCCCCATGTGGAGCAGATCAATTCCACTCATCACCGCTGCCTCCGCCTCCTCCCCAGTCTCCCTGCGCGCCCTCCTCCCCATCCATGCCCGCGCCATCGTCCTCGGTGTATCCACCAACCCGGCCTTCTCCACCAGCCTCCTCGCCGGCGTGGCGCCCGCCTCCCTCGCCTACGCACGCATGGTGTTCGACGCCGCGCCTGTACGCGATGCCTACATGTGGAACACCCTCCTCCGCGCGCACGCCCACTCCCAGTCGTCGCACGCTGCCGACACCCTCGCCCTCTACAAGCGGATGCGCGCCGCAGGCGTCGCGCCGGACCATTACACCTACCCTATTGTGCTTCCTGCTTGCGCGGCTGCGCGCGAGCCGTGGCTCGGACGGGCCGCACACGGCGACGCGGTGCGGTTCGCGCTCGCTGGGGATGGGTTCGTGCGCAGCGCTCTCATCGGGATGTACTTCCAGGAAGGGGAGGTTGCAGACGCTGAGCTGGTCTTTGCGGAGAGCCATGGCTCGTCCCGGACGGTCGTGTCGTGGACAGCCATGGTTGCTGGCTACGTGCAAAACTACTTCTTTGGGGAGGCAGTTGCGCTGTTCGGCACGATGGTTGCCGAGGATGTCCTTCCGAATGAGATCACTCTGATCAGTTTCCTGCCCTGCTTGCAGGGCCAAGAATGGCTGTATGCCGGGGGTTTGATGCAAACATTCCGTTGGCTAATGCGCTCATCGCAATGTATGGGAAGTGTGGGAGCATTCCCATGGCAGAAGCTTTGTTTGAGGGAATGGCAGTACGCAGTCTGGTTTCCTGGAACACGATGGTTGCAATGCATGAACAACATGGTGATGTGGTTGAGGCAATCAAGTTATTCTGTAGGATGCTTAATGAGAAGGTGGGGTTTGATTGTGTGACTTTGGTCAGTGTTCTGTCTGCTTGCGCACACTCAGGAGCCCTGGAGACTGGCAAATGGGTGCATGAGTTTGCCCGGAATCATGGGCTTGACACAGATGCAAGGATCGGCAATGTTCTTGTTGATATGTATGCAAAGTGCGGCGAGATTGCTAGTGCAAGGAATGTCTTTGACTGTTTGCGTATGCGGAGTGTTGTGTCCTGGAGTGCCATGATAAGTGCATATGCTAACCATGGTGATTCTGAAGGGGCTCTTAAAATCTTCTCCCTGATGAAAAGTGGAGGCGTGAGACCAAATTCGTTCACATTCACTGCAGTTCTAGTGGCATGTGGCCACTCAGGCCTTGTTAATGAAGGACTTAAGCATTTCAACAGCATCCTTTCTGACTACCAAATGTCGCCTACACTGGAGCACTATACCTGCATGGTTGACATGCTAGGGCGTGCTGGTAGACTTGTCGAAGCATATGAAATCATCAGGGGAATGTCTTTGCGCCCAGACAAGTGCGTGTGGGGTGCATTCCCTGGGGGTTGTAAGCTTCACGGTAATCTGGAGCTAGCTGAATTCGTTGCCAAGGACCTCTTCCAGTCAGGCTTCAATGATGTCACATTCTATGTTTTGATGTCAAACATGTACTGTGAAGCTGGAATGTTGAAAGATGCAGAAAGGATGAGATGGGCCATGAAGGAGATGGAACTCAATAAGACAGCCGGGCATAGCGCAGTAAACCAATAGGGAGGTAGCAGACCTGTGTAATTCTGATTTTAGTTAGCTTTATTATTTACCATTATATACTAACATGAAGTTTTGATGGTCATCATCTGTAGTAATTTAGGGTATATGGTACACTAGTTATTATAAACTCAACACATGGGGGCTCTTCCCTTCTCTCACTGACTATTTTATCCGGGACGTCTAACATGGCTTTCCAACCTTATACTAAATATCTGCTGATATCCTCTTCAGGATTTTCAGACATGAGTTTGATGTAATTTTCATATCAGAGCAACAAAATTATTGGAAACAAAGACCGCCTTCAAGGTACACTATGAGTAAACCCTGAAAAAGGTGCCTTTTGTGGATGCCATATTCAACCAAAATGACATTGTGATGCCTGAGCGGAACTTCAAAATGTATCCCAAATATACCCTGACCATTACTGAAAGGTGGGACTTGCTAATTCTCACTCCCATGGGGTTGCAAGTGTCACATCTTGCAGCACTCTATACTCATGAAGTAGGAGGAGATCCACAAAGTCCCCAAACCACTTGCTGACCAAGTCCGATCTGCTGTTAGTCGTTGAACTCTCACTCTTGGTAGTAGCAGAATTCTTACTCTCATCGAGAGAGGATGACACTAGGAGTGGGACAATTTTCTGGTTTTATTTCTCACACAAACTCACACAAATGCCATGCCAACCTGAGGGGTTGAGGATACATATTTATAGGCTGCTAGCTAGCCAAGCATATGTCAAGATGCTAGTCTAAGATGCTAGTCTAAGATGCTAATATGCTGTCCTCTAAGATGTTGTCCTAAGATGCTGTCCTAGAGTCTAAGATGCTAGTCCTATATGCTGTCCTAGATGCTGTCCTTCAGTCAAGGATGCTGTCCTTGATAACCACCATGCAGCAGCCCCACAAAGACCAGCCCCACAAAGACTTATCCATCATTCTCCCCCTAAGTCTTGTGCGTCGTCTTGTAGGAGAGTTGAACCATCCCGGTCCTCGAGCAGAGCTCAAGGAACTTGATCTTCCCAAGGGGCTTGGTGAGCAGTCCATAAGTCTGGTCCTTGGTGTTGATGTAGCTCATACGATGCTCCCTTCCTCCAAACAGCCTCGGATGAAGTGGTACCTCACCCGGATGTGCTTGCTGCGTTCATGGAAGACGGGGTTATTTGCGAGGGCAGCGGACTTGTTGTCCACCCCAGAGCTCCACCGCCCTAGTGTCTCTGCCGAGGAGATCACCAAGCGATCGGCGAGCAGGCGCTGAGTCGAGCGGTGGAGGCCGCTATGTACTCGGCCTCGCGGTGAACAGGGCCACCACTGGCCGCTTGACCGATTGCCAGCCTAACGAGGCACTTGCCGAGGAAGAAGAGGATCCCGCTCGTGCTCTTCTTTGGTGTCGATGTCGCGCCGGCGTGGTCGTTGTCGTCCGTGTGCACTGATGAAGTGTGCCGCCCTAGGGCACCTAGGGTAGTAGAGGCCGTGGTCGAGAGTCCCCGCAACGTGGCGGATGATCCTCTTCCACGACTGCTTGGTGCTCCGTTGTCGGTCATTTGCATGAACCGACTAACATAGCCGACGGAGAATGTCAAGTCCGGCCGTGTGTGGGCGAGGTAGCGAAGGCTCCCCACAAGACGCCGGTACTGCGTAGCGTCCACCTCCTCCGTCGTGCTGTCGCGGCTCAGCTTCAGCCTCTCCTCCATCGGAGTGAGAGTTGGGTTGCAATCGGCGAGCCCAGCTAGCTCAACGACGCGCTTGGCGTAGGCGGTCTGTCGAAGCATGATCCCGGAGTCATCCTGGTGCACCACGATCCCCAGGTAGAAGGAGAGAGGTCCCAGGTCACTCATCTGGAAGGTGGCCTTCATCTCTTCCTTGAATACCGCCACCTCCGCATCCTTGGTGCCGGTGATCACCAAGTCGTCGACGTAGACACCCACCAGCAGAGCATTTCCTCCACTGCCCCGTCGGTAGATGGCCGCCTCGTGCGGGCTTTGCTCGAAGCCCATCCCCTTTAGCGTGAAATCCAGCTTGGCATTCCACGTCCTCGGTGCCTGCCGCTAGCCATAGAGGGCCTTCGCAGGCGGAGCACCTTGCCCTCCTTGCCGGGGATCGCAAATCCCGGCGGCTGGTGCACGTAGACCTCCTCCTTCAAGTCGCCGTTAAGGAATGCCGACTTGACGTCCATGTGATGAACACGCCAGCCCTCTGGGGCGCTTAAGCGCGAAAGAGTCGCGCGGACTCCATCCGTGCCACGGAGCAAAAGCGTCGTCCGGTCGACCCCCTCCTCGCCGCAGCGAAGCCACGTGCCACCAAGCGAGCCTTGTGCTTGCGATGGCACCGGCTTCATCCCACTTCAACTTGTACCCCCTTACTTAAGGGTGATCGCGCGGTGACCACGAGGAAGGTCGGCCAAGCTCCCGGTCGCGGTTCTTCTCAACCGCATCCATCTCCAATCGCATCGCGGCGCGCCATGCCGCGTGTCTCTCGACCTCTCGCAAATGACCGAGGTTCGCCGTCGTCACACGCAAGGTGCAATCTAACGCTCCGATTCGTGAGGCACCGGTCCGGCACCGGTGGTCGCCGAGAAGGTTCTCCAACAGACGGTACCGCAAACGGCTCGCCGTCGTGGTAATGCTGTCGACGCCGCTCCTCGTCGTGAGAGAGCGAGATGGCGAGCTCAACCGGGCCGTGCTTTCGACCACGAGCCGCTGGTGGTGGGGTAGATGTGCCCGGAGTGGTGCTTGTCGGTCTTTGGAGTGCGTGGCGTTGCTTACCGGTGGTGGAGCCGCAAAAGAACTCATCGCAGCCGAGGTCCCGGCCGAGAGGCGTGGTCTTTGTCGAGTAGCAGCGCCGGTCGGTGGAGGCTCGGGGATCGGGGTACGCGCTTCGCCGAAGAAGAGCTGCCTACTCCCCCAGCTCCCTCGAAGTGGACGTACTCGACAGTGAAGTCGTCGTACGTCGGAGCCGAGCCGTCGTCCACCGCCTTATCCCACGCCCATCCTCGCCCTTCGTCGAACACAACGTCGTCGCGCCCGTGCGCTGCACACGCCGTGTCTTCTTGGTCGAGGATGCGGTAGGCCTTCGAGCCCTCAGCGTAGCCGATGAACACTCCCGGAGTGCTCCTGCTGCCGAGCTTCTTCGATGTGGCCAAGCTCCTTGGCGAACGCGAGGCGGCCGAGACCCGCAAGTGGGAGACCGCCCGGCTTGCGCCCATGCCAAGCCTCGTCTGGCGTCCTGCCGTCGGCGCCTTTGGTAAGCGAAGCGGTTGAGGATGTAGACGGCCGTCACCACCGCCTCTCCCGAAGACGGCCGGCATCCCCTCTCGCTTGAGGAGGGCCCGAGCCATCCCCACAACCGTCTGGTTGCGCTGCGCTCGACGACGCCGCTTCTGCTGCGCGGGTTGTACGGTAGCGAGTAGTGGCGCCGAATGCCCTCGTCGGTAGCGATGCGACGCGGTTCAGCCGCCGTGAATTCGCCCGCCGTTGTCGGTGCGCAACACGCCAGTAACTTGCGGCGCGCTCGCCTCCGCGGCAGCTTGACGCGCGCTGATGGCGTCCGCGACCTCTCCCTTGCGGCCGAGGACCATCACCCACATGTAGCGGGAGAGGTCATCGACGAAGCGGCGGAAGTAGGCGTCGTCCTCCCCGGTGTGGCGGTGTCACCGGCCACACAAGTTCCCGTGCACAAGCTCGAGCCTCTCCTTGGCTCGAAAGCTCGCCACATTGGGGAAAGGGGAGTCGCCTTTAGCTTCGTCAACACGCGCAGACGTCGCAGAGCTGCTCCACATGGTCGAGGCACTTGCAGGCCTCGCACCATCTTCGTGGCACTGAGCCGCTTTAGGGCCTCGAAGTGAAGGTGCCCGAACGCTTCGTGCCTCGCCACGCCTCGTCGTCCCGGCAGGCGGCGAGACAGAGGGGTTGTGCCACCGCACGTTGAGGACGTGAGAGTCGATTTGGCGCTCGGATACCTTGGCAAGAAAGGCGGCGACGACGATCCCAAATCCTCATGACTCCGTCCTCAACCACCACGCTTGAACCGTTCTCATCCAAATTGTCCCAAAGTCGATGATGGAGTTCCTCAACGCGGGATGTAGTAGACTCGGTGAGCGGCTGTGTGCTCACCGTGACACAGCGGTGAAAGATGGCGGAGAGCCGACGCCCTTGATCTCCACGCCGGAGGCATCCCCAAACTTGAGCGGAGCCTCGGGCGCTAGAGTCAAGCTCGGTGAAGAACTCCGTCGACCGGTCATGTGATGGGTGGCGCCGGGTGTCGAGGCACCACCGTCCCGATCTTGTCGTTCTGCGGGCTGCTGCCGAGGAGGGCGTGTGCTTTTGGCTCATCAAGGTGGAGGAGAGCCAGCTGCGGTCGGTGCAGTTGGAAGCGGCTTCGATGCTAGCATGTGCCATGAAACAGAGCCGCTCCTCCTCCTCCGCTTTGTCTGACGTGGGCACAGCAGCGTCGTGGTTGTCGGCGATCCTTGGCCCAATGGCCAAGCTGGCCGAAGCTGCGGCGTGCGTCGTCGTCTTGGCTTGTACTGCCGGCGGCGCCCGTCTGGCTCCTCCGCGCGAGCATCACCCTCGGCACGTCCTCGCGCCCCGGCCTGGGCGTCTCTGCGCGCCTTGCGTGGCTTGCCACGCTTGCGACCGCCTGTCGCGGAAAGAAGGCTCCCCCTTCTTCCGGTCACCTTGGCTGGCAAGCCACTGCTCCCGAGTGAGAAGGAGCTTCCACGCCGGTGGTGATGGGCCCCGAGAGATCGTGGCTCATCGTCGCCGACGACCTTGAGGCGACCTATCGCCTCCTCGATCGACATCGTGGAGAGATCCAGCGAGGACTCGATCGAGCGAGCCATCTGCTTGTACTTCTCGGGGGCGCAGCGGAAGAGCTTTTCGGCTCTCTCCTCGCCAGAGGGTGTCATCGCCAGAATCGCACCATCTTCCGCAATGCAGTGTTGAGACGGAGAGCAAAGTCATCAACGTCCTCACCGCCTCTTGAAGGCCGTGTTCTCCCACTCCT